ACGGGAAAACACATAATAGTAGTGTGCGTTACAAACTGTAGGAATACAGAGCCGAGATGCATGAGTTGGAAGGTGGAAAGAAAGCAAGAGATGATCGCATCCGAGGGCTGGAGAGTCAGAAGAAAGCTTTGATCGAGAAGAGTGATTTGATGCAGGTGTGAATTTGTGTACCACATTATCGAGGGTAGCAAAAAGGAAGGGGGGGACCCACCCTCAACACCCTGTAATCCAGTTCAATTGAATGGTATTTGGTGCACTGACGGGCAGGAAAATGAGTTCCAATAGGGTTACCGTAACAGTCATACAATTTTAATTGAGATAAGTCTTTTTCAACCACTATTTACTACCGTGGATATGAATTATCATGTCGATGTATACGCTGATGACATAATTTTAAAAAAATTGTTTTGTAAATTTTTTTAGATGAAGTTTCCTCTTACGATTGACTGTGAATACATGAAAATCACTTATGTGAACTGTGGCTTTTAAGAAACGAATACGAAAGCGATTTTCGCCGTAATGAACTCTACTTGAACATTAATAAAAATAAGGCCTGAAAAAAATTCAGGTCTGTACGGGATTTAAACTCACGACCTCAGCGATACCAGAGCATTGCACTACCAATTATTACTAGCCAACATAATGATCAGTTCCCAGGTGGCTTGTTAGCTCAGTTGGTACAGCACTGCATCCGTATCGCAGAGGCCATGGGTTCAAATCTCGTAAAAATTCAGGCTTTATTTTCACTACTGCTTAAGTAGTGTTAATTACTGCGAAGATCGCTTTCATCTTCATTTCTTTAATGATTTTTACGCATATATTCAACAAATACTTTAGCAACAGTTACTAGGATACCAAGCACAGCTGAACAAGAGAAGACAGATGATGGAAGACCTTGAGCGTGACCATCAACAAGAGATGGCTGCGCTGCATTCCCAGGTATGTCATGTAAACTGTTTATCTTCTGCATTTGAATTCATGTTAAGAGTAGATTGGTGAAGACTCAACAAGGAGTCTTTCTCAAAAGAATCTTTGCTGATGTGTTCTTCAGAACTTATTGGCTGAGATGCTTTAGTGGTGTGTACTTCCGGTAGAGTAAATTTTCGCATGTACAGTACCTCTCGCGTGTACTGCAGCAACCCCACGGGCGTAAAACGCGTGTAATTCGTGAGAATTGAAAGCGCGTGTAGTTACGCGCGTGTGGTAGAAAAATTACACGCCTACAGAGGTACACACGCAAATGCGTGTATTTTAATTATCTTTTTGTCATTCACCGCACGCATATGCGTGTACATGAAATAGAGATGTGTACATGAATTTGTACTGCTGTTTGATTTTAGCTTGGACGTGCTAAAGGTGAATGTGACGATTCTGAGGATACTGTTCAGCAGTAAG